CATGATGTATTTGACTGCCGTTAGAGGAAAAAAAATGCCCTTCCAACATCACGCTAATCCACAGCTGTTGAGGGCTAACCTGCACAAGGCTGATATGTGTGTAATAATGGCCAGAATTATTCATGTAATCTTGGCACTCTGAACCCAGACTGATGAATCGACCGCCAGAGTGGCTTGACTGATGCTCCCGCCGAATTACTGTCACCAGGACGGCACATGCACGCTTTTCTTCAGATCACTTGGCACTTGGTAGAAATGCCCACCTGCAGTCTACATTTTGCAGAGACATTTTCAGTATTGCAGGATGAAAAATTAAGCAACCTGCATTTCTGCAGACTGAAAAAAAATCTTCGGGTTTTGGGTTTAACGGTATCGGCTTTTGTGTTCACCACTAACTTCTTAATATACAAGTAATTTTGCATGACTTATTTTTCAAATTGCATGTTAATAGTTTGCCAACATGTTGTTTTGTTTAGGTTCAAGACTTGTAAATCTATATTTTGCAGAAAGTATTTCTGGAGTGCAGAACAAAATGTTGACAATTGCAGAACACTTTTCTTCAACGGGCTAGGCGTGGGCTGTTAATGTCTTCATGCAGATTCAATGATGTGTGCTCTGATTTTAATTTTCAAAACGTATTCACGAGCTGCACAACAGTAATATCTGGTGAATTTTTCATTCTTCAGTTTTGAGAAGTGTTGAAATTTGACCCAGATGATTTAAAAATTCAGACGCATTATCAACTAATGACCCCAGAGAGGATACTGTTCTCAACAGCTGTCAACATGGATAAAGTATAGCCCAGTTGTCATTCTGAGAGAAACATAACTGTAGAGTAGAGATCAGAAACACGTTAACCTTCTCTCTGCTGCCTTACCCTATTAGCAATACAAATTTGGTGCCAAACTGCTACCTTAGCAATTTTTGCATGTTGGCAGAACGTACTGCACCTGTGCAAAATGCTTTTTTTTTTCACCATTTTCAATGTTGTACCAGAATTTTGCCTTTTTTCAGATATTGTCTCTTCAGACACAACATTTGAAAATTATAGACAGAATGTCATCCTTAGATATGTGAATACAGCCTTTAATGTGATATTTTGCCAAAGCGCTAAGTACAATACATTACGGGTTTTGTAGTACATTCTTCTGACGTGCTAGCAGTTGTAGTGTTAAAGCAAAATGGACTTAAGAGATGGAATATCATCCTTATGCATGTGAATCTTACCATAAACAAGACATTCTGCCAAAGTGTGATACTCAATACATTACAGGTTTTACGCACACCCAGTACATTATTCTGACGTGCTAGCAGTTGTAGTGTTGAACCGAAATAGACGTTCTGCCGAAGTGCTTTGCACTATACATTATACGTTACACACAGATGCTGTACGTTCTTGTGACGTGCCGCTAGTTTTAGTGTTAAAACAAAATGGATGGTAGTGCCGCCTTGTTGTTTGCTCCACTCAGCTCGCAGTAATAACTTCTGACCTTGAGCGGACAGATGTGTTTGACCTTGTGCTGCGGAATGACTCTGTATCCCGGTAAACAGTTGATGGGTGTGCGTTAGTGCAAATTCTCGGCTTGAAAGCTAGACTTCAGAAGGAAGGTCAAGTCTCGATTAATTTGAGGAAGGCGTCTTGTAATTATGTTGCACAAAGCTTTCATGTATAGAAAGTCCTTGTTTTGTAGGTTGTGAGTTGAAATGACTTAGCTGGCTGTAGGAGTTTTAAAATTCAAAATGACATTTAAGAAAATATTAAGAGATTTTACTTGTAGAGGGTCTGGAAAATTAGTTCGCAAAGAATCATGTCAGGCTTTGATAATTTTCTAGCTAAATTCCAGCAACAGAAAAAAAGCACAGATCTCCATTAAAACTGAGTGCTAGAAATAAAGAATTTATAATAAATATAAAGGAAAGAAATTACTTAATATCAAAATACTCTTGTACTGTACATAGCAAACTCAGGTTTTTAAAAGATGCACAGAAGCGGCAAAATTGTGGGATTTTTTTCCCTACCAGGAGACAAATCTGAGATTTGCACATCTGTTCTTTGGCACAGAGAGACAATGGCCAGGTCAGAGCCTGTAGATTGATCAGACTGCCTTTCTGCCTTTCTGTGGCGCTTTTCTTGAATGATTAATGAAGTCATGGCTGCAGCTGTGGTCTTCTGTCTGGGGCTGGTGACTGATGACCTCTCAACTCTGACCTGTTCATCAATCTTATTGATTAATCTGTCTTCTGCAGTGTTAATTCGTTTTTTCCTGCCGACAATTGAAGCAGAAAATTTACAGATTGGAATATTTTTACACTTGAAAGTCAAGGGAATTTTTTTAGTTCAAGGTATGAAATAGCTTAGCAATGGTACGTAATGCCTTAGGAATTTTTTGTGATGGCACAGTGTGCTTGGCCCAGTTTTTGTGGACATAACATGCTTGTGCGTTCTGTCATTGAGTGAGAAATGACCAAAAGAAGGATCAGCATTGTCAGAATAACCAAAAAAGTATTTCACACTCTTTTTCAAACTCTATTTCTAAAAAAAAATTGACGTTAGGATTTGAAATTTCACTTCGATTCAGTTAAGCACTTTGGCATACTGCACCTTTTCAAAACCTGTATTTTTCATGGATGTTTGGCATCAGAATTATGCCTATTGCAGACAATATCTTTTCTAACATTTGAAACCTACGGACGGGATGTCATCCTTAAATACGCAAACACAGCCCTTAAATAAGTCATTCTGCCAAAGTCAGACACATTACGGGTTTCGCGCAGGTGCAGTACGTTCTGCCGACGTGCTATTCAGACATTTGTATTCACCTGTGAGAGAGGCTACGTGTATGATGTCACGAAGCGTCTCTGTTGTGAGAAATGTGAAGTGATGGGAGATAGTTTTCCCTGCGGGCCACAGACTGGCATTTCATTCATCTCTACTGCTGGGATGATCTGTGGGTTTTTCACATCAAGACCATTAGGCCTAGGGAAAATTTTTTTTTCCTGTTTCCTGACTGACCCTAGAAAAACCTGCCGACCCTAGACTTTTATTCGATGTGGACCCCTGCAAGGGACAAAAATTTTTTGAGCTGATGGACCTTTTCTAGCTCCATGATTTGATACTTGAGTGATGAAACATTGCACAATCGGTTTTCAAACATTGCCATTGAAAATATAAGTGCCCTCTTTGTTAAACTGTATTGTATAGGTTGGATCACTAGAGATTGACAAAGTCTAATAAAAATGCAAATATGGTCGACTGATGATGATGAATAAAAAAGACTTTTTTCAAGACTAAAACAGGAACCACAACATTTTTTTCTTAGGCCTTATTTTTCCACAGTCAGACCGTTAGTGTAGTCATGCGTTTTATTAGTGGAAGATGCTATGTGTTCAGTTAAAGGGTAATGTGATGATATTTTGTGGTGTCCATTTCTCATGTCAGTGAATATGGTTTATTGCTTCGTCTTTTGGTCGCAAGTTCAAACTAGATAATTAAGTTGACCATTATGTTAAAATTGAAAATTGGCATATGGTATTTTTTTTTATGGACAAATACTACCAACATTTGCTTCTATAAAAGTGATTTTTCGACTTAAAAACCCTTTCTATCATTAGCTGAAAGATATAATTTGACAGAAATGTATCGTTGGAAAGGCAGTGAAAAATAGGCTAAATAGCAGATATTTTGTTGCATACACCACTGTTTTAGAACATAGCAGCAGTGCCTAGTTACAAAAAAAATATGATGATAGCCCCTCCTCCTACTGTTTGGTGGAATCATTATATGGAATATAATTTTCTGGTTGAATGAATTTGATGACTGTACTACAAACACATAAAATATTCAGACTCTACTATGTTTATGCTTATGACCTTTATGTTCTACCAAGGTATGTTTGCTTGTATGTCTGTAGTTCTTTTAACCCTTGTACTGTTGGCATTTTTTACACAAAATCTTTCAATTATTTCATGTCTTAATCAGGTCATAGACCCTGACTTTTTTCCCAACTGGGGACATAGTTGTTACTTCCGCATTCGTTGCGTTTCACTGTGGTGTGGTGCCCAAATCGTAGATATACAGTATGGTATATGGGTGATACTATACATTCAACCCTTATGTATATATATGTATATATATAGGCTCCGCAGGTTTAAGCCCTCCCCACTGCCCAGGCAACAGACTGACCTCTAACATGGTCGTGCTCTGTGTTCAGGCGGTGGGAAATCAAGTCTTTGTTTGGTGCTACAGCCTCAAGTGACGTTTCCAGACTTCAGAGGCTCATGGTCCAATCATACAACCCACTAGCAATCTTTCTGAAGATAGATAAATAAAGAACACAGAAAATAAATAGATAAGTTTTGCTAAGTTGTGCTCAAATGTCTGTCCACATTTGGTGTATGTATGAGCCCTTAGCATGAACAGTGTTTATAAGATAATAAAAAAATACTATTTAGAAAGAAAAAAAAATCCCCCCAAAAAATCCTCAAATGAAAAGCTAGAAATGGTGTTATGAAGTAAAAAAAAGTGAAAAAAAATGTTTTAGCTTGGGAATGCTCATGTATTTCCCAGCAAATACAGAACATCAGAAACAGCAAACATTATTAATATGAAACTGACAGAAATATGACAGTTGGTCATTTGATACCCCTAAATTGACTAGAACATTTCTCCTAACCTTGGACCTGAATCAGAAACATGGATCACGCGTCTGTTACAGCTTTACGATCGATGCCGGGCTTTAGGTGGATCTAGCAAAGTCCTTGGCAGTTATCAAGGTCAGAGATTAGCTCTCAAGGTCAAATTTGGGAGGGACATCCCTGGCATGTGATTTTCAGGAATTGTAGGAAAAGCTTTACTGGGCTGTACTTGCAAAGTAAATTGAGTTACATCAAGAATCATTTTTTGTGTGTGTGTGTGTTAGATAGCATGGATTGGTACATGGTCTATTGAAAGGATGTGATTTTACCCAGAAGAATATTTGCCTTAACCCAGACCAACACAGATTAAGAGGTGGACCACCTCCAAGTAAGTATTCACATTTTTTACCATTTAAAATGTTAATTAACAGCAATAATTGAGTAGTTCTATCATATTATTGATTTTGATGCAGAAGTTTATTTTTAGAGTTAACTGGATACAGAAATTCCTGAACATTATTTCCAAAGACTGCAACATTTCAAAGATCATTGCACAAACGTGAAGAACAAAAATAACACCCAAAACGATGCAGTTCCCATTCCAGATTCTGCATTTCTTTCCTTCCTTCCTAACTCCAAAGTACAGGAAACCTATCGCCTTCCTGTCTTATAATTATGATCATTAAGTTATCCACAGCCCACATGAAATCCTTGAGATTATGCCAACTTCCTCAGCTCAAAGGCACCAAAATGTTTCTTGCGAGTTGAACCTGAGAGAAGGGTTAAGATCCGCATAAAAACATGAATTTGAAGAAACAGGAAATGCTCAGGTATTCGTGTACAGGGCTCGAAATACTGGGTGCATGTGCACCTTTTTATTTTTTTTTTATTTTTAGTGCACCCAAATATTTTTGTAAGTATTTGTGTACATATTAAATAGTATACAGAATATTCTTGGCATCTAAGGGTCAGAAAAGTAATAAAATCTTTGTTGTAGTACTTGTGTAAGATTTTGAAGTTCGCTTCCATTTTAGATTCAAGCTCAGAAGAGGAGCATTAAGATCTGTAATTATGTTTTGTTTCATATAGTGCACCCCAAAAAATTTTGTGCACCCAATTTTTTTATGTTGGGTGCACCATTTCACCTATTCCCAAAAATGAATTTCAATCCCTGCATTTGAACAAACAGGAAATGCTCAGCTGTTCGTGTAGAAGCTAACCTGATTTCCTGTGTATCAGTTGGATCCATTTCCTGTAGAAAGGTTACGTGAGGACACACCGCGTATCCCTAACACGTGGGCGTCCCTGCTGAATAAAGATTCAGTAACAGGCATAAAATTATCTCAGTGCTAGTAGGATTCTACCAGTGTATTGATATCTGTGTCAGTTGGAATATTTCTCATTGGCAATACTGTTGGAGAAAACTAGCTAGAAACAGCCGATTTTGTTGATGACAGTTTGACATCCAGGTAATGTGATACACAAGGAAATTGTTACTGAAGCAACTGGATAGATGTTGAAAACTGTCAGACATTTCAAGTAGCATCCACTACTGTTTGTCTGACAATTTTCTTATGTTATGTTGCTTGTTGAGTTTATTTCATTATTAATGTATATGTAATGTTCTTACTTATCAGGACCAGAAGACTATCACCAGCCGAGAGCAATCCCAGCATACACCCATCCTGGATCGGCCGCTCAGCAACAGGTACGCTTGTTTCTTGAAATATCTTCAGTTTGGTTGTTGTAGTAAGCTGGTTCATGGTTCAAACAAGTTCAAAGATGAGGGCTACTAGCTTGTAAATGACATGAGTCGGCAGGTTTTTCTAAGTCTGAAAACACAACGTTTTTTTTTAGGACTCGAGTCAACTATATGTTGCTACCTTTCTAAAGTCAAGACGTTGTTCCTTGTTTTTTTTCTTCTTTTTTTAAATTTCAGGGCGTTCCAATCCAGCAGGGTTTAAAATTCAGATGCCATTGGTTGCTCCCTCCCCCCCAAAAAAAGGCTGGGGTCGTTTTTGCTTGAGTTAGTCAAGAAACTGAAAATGTTCATCAACAACTTGCCACCTCTCTAAACTTGAACTTGTTTCTCATTTCCCCCAGGGCATTCCACTCCAGCAGGGGAGGCACCCCCACACGGCCCCCTCCCCTCATGACATGAACAAGGGCGGGGTGAGTAGCCAGGGCCCCCCTCCCGTGGTGGGCACCCCCCCTACAGGCCCCTCCCCGGGCCCTCAGATGTCCCAACAGACCCAGATGTACGCCTCAGTCTCCATGTCACAGGGACACAGGTCCTCACAGGTAAGGAGGATAATGATAAACTGTGTAAAAACAATACTGATTTTGGATATGGTGGAAGGTAGAACTTAGCCTGGATGCCAGACTGTTTCCAGGGCCTACACAGGCTAGCTCCTCTCTGCTCTAGGACCAGTATGCTAGACTGGGTCCTAGACTATTTCTGGGCTTACACAGGCCAGCATGCTAGCCTGGATGCCAGACTGTTTCCAGGCCCTACACAGGCTAGCTCCTTGGCTTTTGGGCTGATGTGCTAGCCTGGTTGCCAGCCTATTTCCAGGGCCTACACAGGCCAGCTCCTTGGCTCCAGGGCCAGCATGCTAGCCTGGATGCTTGACTGTTTTCCTGGGCCTACTCAGGCTAGTTCCTTGGCTTCAGGGCCAACATACTAGCCTGGGTGCCAGACTGTTTCTAGGACCTACACAGGCCAGCTCCTTGGCTCTAGGGCCAACACTCCCCCAAGGAAATTATACCACAGACCCCCCTAAGTTAGACCCAGTGTTATGGGTCTGGCATCCAGGCTAGATAACATACAAAGTTACACGACACAAAGCTTTGACAATAGCTGACAGCAGCAAAGAAAGTTGGTTTGTAAGGACAGGTTGAAAGGAAAGTAACTTTTTGAGTAAGGTAAGTAACTTGTCAAAATACTGCTTGGAAATGTAATATTTTGTAGTTCTTCCTCTCTTTTAACTGCCTATCATAATCGCATCGAGAAGTTGTACCCAATGCACAATGATGACAGAATGATGAGACTCCCTTTGCACTTCTTTTAACAACTTGTATAATTCCTGAAAAAAAAAAAACGAATGAAGAGAAATTGTTGAGGCCTAGGAAAAAATGTTGTGTTTCCTGTTTCAGTCCTGAAAAAGTTAGGGTTGGTAGGTAGGATTATCTTTTTTTTTTAACTAGACTTAGGCAATCTCTAGTGATCCAACTTTTACAATACAGTTTAACACAGTAAAACTTGCATGAGGACACTTGTATTTTCAATATCAGTGTTGGAAAACGCATTGTACTGTGAGCATTTTACCACTCAGGTGTCAGATCATGGAGCTAGAAAAGGTCGATTAGGTCCAAAAAATTTATGTCCCTTGCAGAGGTCCACTCAAAAAAAGGCTAGGGCTGGCAGGTTTTTCTAGGGTCAAGGAAACAGGAAACACAACATTTTTTTCCTAGGCCCTAGATTTAATTTTGCGCATGTTGTGTGTGTTGGTGGGATGTTGTTGTGACTGTGTGTACCGTTTGTGTGCCCCTCTCCTCATGCATGCCAGCCGGGAATGGGCCGACACATGCAGGTAGCTCTCTCCATATATTTGCACACTCACTTATACTACACTCACACTACTGCTTTTCATGTTTATACCCTTGCAATTGCAAGAACAAATGTAACACTGGGCTCAAAATACACCTCAATTTTTTAGTATGCAGAAAAAAGATGCTAAAATTGGAGATAGAATTTTCAATTCTGCAAAACAAATTCTCAAGAATACAAAAACTATGTAAGTTATGGTATAAGCTGATGTTGTAACTTGTAGCTTGATTTTTCACTGGAAACTTTTTGCTGACACATCAAGTGCAGAGGCTTTTTATGGAGTGAAATTTCAAATATTACTTACTAAATATTGTTGGTAACAGACAAAAAGTATTTCGAGCCCTGGAAAGATGTATAGCAACAACATTGACTCTTTACAATACAATTTATAATCTTAGATTTTCCATCTTTACCGAGAAACAAACACATACTTTTAGGGTTTAAAACTTTCAGACTTGTTGCAAATATTACTACATACCTTACCTGATCAGATTGTAACCAAAATCCCGTTGCTTTTAACCCACTGCATCACAAGGGAGGTCCGAGACAGGTAATCATCAAATTTTACACATCTTTTTTACGCTACAACTCATGCAATCTTACTCAAACTCCCTTCCAATATATCGCACCAGTTTTCTTCTTGGTTCTTTGACTTCATGAAGAAAAAAATCAGAAGATTTTGCTCTTAAAATTGTTGGTAGAAGATGCATTGTTTTTTTGAGGGGTTCTTGAAGAAAAATCAAAAGATTTCGCTCTTAAAATTGTTAGTAGAAGATGCATTGTTTTTTTGAGGGGTTCTTGAAGAAAAATCAAAGATTTCGCTCTTAAAATTGTTGGTAGAAGATGCATTGTTAGTTTTAGGCTTCTGTTTGAAGCAGTTTTTATTTTTCTGAAGTGTTTGAACCAAGGAATTGAACTGGTGTGTCCTATTTGTTATCTGGACCACGATTGGTCCTGATATAAGAATCATGACTCACATCCATGCAATGTAACCAATCACAATTCATCTTACATCCCAGTAACGACTGTAATACCTACTATACTGTTTGATTCCCATTTTGTAATTTGAATTGATTCTTAAATTTTCTTCGCTCTTTTTTCTTCCTTTTGATCCCCAAGCACCAAGGTCCGAGACAAGGACACCAGGTAAGATATAACTTGTGAAAAACAATTATTATTATTCTTCCCTTTTTTGTCAATGCCTCTAGAGCAGAGCCTTTGTTATTCACTGTATTTTGGTGGTCTTGTTGCAATTGTATGCTGATGTATTCATGTCAAAAATACTACCTGCATATACAGGTTAGTGCTGGTAGAATTGTGCAGGTATTTCTGACATCTACCTGCACTTAACCTGCTCCGTTCATGTTCTGGGTTCACAGTATATACAAATATAGATTTATGTGGATTTTTATTTGCTGCATTTACTGTTACGACCTATGAAGTACAGAAGAAATTATGTCCACAGTTTCTGAACAGTTTTTAGTGTAATCTATACTTCCTAAATTCTAAGCAGTGCAGATAAAAGTTGTTTGGCACAGGAAATTTTCGATGCAGAAAAAAGATTTTGAACCCTGCTACAGAAAGAAGAGTTTTGTTCTTTCCTTGAATGAAGTTTTTTCATTGAAGTTTTCTAAACGTTTGTAAATTTCTTCCCCTCCCAGCCCCAGTACTACAGAAGTTCAGGTCCCACAGCGAACGGCAGAGTGCCGTACCAGACGGGGCCGAGGTACAGCGCTCCCCAGACCGTCACGTCGGCACCGCCCCCGCAGATGTTCCAGCATCCCAACCAGATGATTCCCGGCCACGTTCCGCAGCAAGCCTACCCACAACCCACCCTGTTCATCCCGCAACAGGTGAGGAAAGTTTTGGTGTTGTTGGAAAAGTGGTGGTCTGTTATAAGTCCTCCATTGTGGGGCTAAAGAAAAAAACTGTTGTACTGAAATGATTCTCAAAGTGATAAGAAGAGAATAAGAAAAATTCATTAGAAAGAAAGGTCATTACTAATGATGTGTCCCTAATTTTTACCTTGAAGAGTAGAAAGTGGAAAGGTAGAACTAGTCAGTAAAGTCTACAAGGCAGAAAAGATGTGGTATTTAGTATCTAACTTATTTTAAGTTTTTTTTCTTTTACAATGGAGAACTTATCACTGCATGTATAGCATGAATCGTTCATTGTTTGCAGCTTTGTCGTGCTGCTGTGTTCCTATTTTTGTTTGTTACTCATTTTCCTTACTTTGCTGCTCTAATGTCCACGTCTGTCACCGTGTGCTTCACTGTCTGCCATTCAGGCAGTTTTCTGAAAAGAAGTCTGACTGACTGAGAAGTCATTGTCTGACTTTGGCATGGCTTCTAGACTGATGATTCAATTGGTGAATTCTGTATGACACATCGTGTGAATACAAAATTGCGATCTGACTAGAGAATGCCATTCAAGCATGTTCATACACTGTCCTGATATTACAGCACAATCTGAATCTTTTCCAAGTTGTCCTAAAAGATGCATCTTAGCCTAGATGACAAAACTGAAAGTTTGCACACTATATATTGTAGCTTGCGTGTGTATTCTGCTTTTCTCTGCTGCAATATCGAGTTTAACATTCAAACTCTGCATGCACTCTTGCTTGATGAGGACCCCTAAAATTTTAGCAGTTCTTTTTCTAAACCATGTTCAGACATGTTTTGTTCTTGTTAACTCGTTCCTTCAACTTTGTCATATTGTGCACAATGCATCACACTGCATATACACATAAAATTGAACTAAAATGTCTGTAAAGCCCATAAAATAACCTAATAATTCAATACTAGCAGTGTGTAATTGTCCTTACCTGTGTGCTTACCTGTTTGCTGTGCTGCCTCTGCTGTGCTTTGCTGTCCGCTGGCTGTCCGCTGTACTAACTCCCCGACCCCGTACTCAGTACCCGCCTGTCTTGCAGTACCGGCCGCAGGCCATCCCCCACTTCCAGCCCCCGCAGCCGACCATACAGAGCGCCACGGCGTACTTCCAGCCGGCACCACAGGGACCCGGGCCGGGCGGCACCCAGACCACATACAGGACAGGGGAACAGCTACAATGTAGGAAATACCTTTATTGTTATACAATGTACTTAACAAAATTTGTTAAGCCATATATGCGTTTCATGGGTTGAAGATGCTTTTTTTTTTTTCTGTTTTTAAGGATTACAGTACTTAAGGAAAAATGTATTATTTTATATAGACTTGGCAATCAGATACAATGCAGACAATTAACTGTTAAGCCATACAATGCCCTTAGTCTTCGTGTCTGCTTTTCAGAGTTATGGTTGCGGACTTGTAATTGGCAAAGCAAACAAGAAACATTAACCAACGTTTCCTCCTGTTTTCCAGAATTGTGCTAGCAGATGACTCAGCAGCTTTGAGAAAACATTAATCATCATGACTTTGGGTTTCCAGATTTCCAGAGTTATACTTGCAGACTTGTAAGTATCAAAGAGAAAACCCTAACCAATCTTTCCTCCTGTTCCCCAGATTTCCAGAGCTATGGTTATGCTCCCCAGGCCCAGCCCATGCAGACTACCCAGCAGCAGAGGCCCCCCTCCATGCCTACAGGACAGATCACTATGATCCAGCACTCCTAACTGATCTTTCCTCCTGTTCCCCAGATTTCCAGAGCTATGGTTATGCTCCCCAGGCCCAGCCCATGCAGACTACCCAGCAGCAGAGGCCCCCTCCATGCCTACCAGGACAGATCACTATGATCCACAGCCCCCACAGCCGCCCCAGCAGGTAACACCACCACTGGTCAGTCTCAGTTCTCTTTATTTTCTCTTTTGTTGTGGTTTATCGTAGAGTAGAAAAATTGCTTGCTTTTATGTATGCTCAAATTCAGCTTTGATTTAAGAATAAAATTTGGATGTTTGTTATATATTTTATCTCTGTGTACAGAGGTTTTGATTTCAGTGTGTTCGCTTTTGTGTAAGTAGTTAGGAAATGGTGTGACTGTAGATTGATGGGAAGATCAAGTTGGAGGTTAAAATGGTCTTATAAAAGCTCTTTTTAATTTTATGGGATGGTTGTTCGCTGGCACAGGCTGGAGTTAATTCTTTACCAGTTTGTCCTTGTCATCCAGTCATACAGCACTGCCCCCTAGCTTTTATACAATGAACTGCAGTGACTGTTGCAGACGAAATATGTGACATGGTTTTGCCTTGATAATTGCTTAGAATAAGGATAGAATAGAACCTGGATGTACCAAAAAATTGACTGTGACAATATTTTTTTAGTGCAAAGTGGATTCAGTTTTAAGAACAGGGATGTAATTCTAGGATTCTGACTGATTTTTTTGAAATAGATAATTTTTTGTTTTTTCTCACAGCAGCAGCAGCACTCAGCAGCAGCAGCAGCAGTTGCCGCAGAAGCGTGAGAGAAAAATCATCAAAATCACGGACAACACGGGGAGGGACGTGACAGAGGAGATCCTGAGTGGAGGCAGTGGCAGCAGTAACCCCACCCCTCCCAACTCAGGCAGGTCAAGTGCCACAGCCACACCGCCGCAGGTAAAAACTTGAACATCGTCTCTGCTCTAGGTCTGTTTGTTCTAAATGTACAAAACCTGTATAGGTGACCACA